ATTGTTTGATTACTGCGGAGGAAGATTTTACCATGTGACTTACTATCGACGTCAGCCGATCAGCTCGCCGTAACAGCTTCTCCCTCCTAAAATCTTACTCACCCATTCTTTTCTGGCTAATTTAGAAAGGTCTAATTTTCCTACTCTAGCGATTTTTCGGATATTCGTCCCGTCCTCTAAATCCTCTTCTTCCCCATATATTAAATATATTCTTTTCGCAGTTTTGATCTGATGCTGCATTAGATCCTTTTTACCCTTTTCATATCTCGCTAACATCTTTCCCACTAAATAATACATCTCCTTAGAAACTCCCTTCACTCCTCTCGCCATTATTTCCATATCTAACTCCTTTCTCGTCTCTTTCCACAACTTTTTCCATTTCTTCCCTTTTTCTCCTTTTCTCTCCCTCTCCTTTTTCCTATACACTCTCATTTTCGCTGCGGCGGTCATTGATCCCCCGCTCGCAGACTTTTCCTCTTTGCCATCCCGTTTTCTTTTCTCCGATGTTCGCGCTTCACCTCTTCCATTACTAATAGTTTTCCATGGATTTTCTTCCTCTAACAGATGTATTTCATCAGCCGGGTATTTCCGTGGACTGGTTAGTGATTCATTCTGTGGGCATTCTTTTTCTATTGGATGGGCTGTGGGGCTTTGTGGATTGATGGGGCAGTCTTCAACTTCTGCTGCAGTCAGAGTATGAGGTAACACATCTGGAAGTGGGGGCCCGACCCGTCATCGTCATCATCATTGTAGGTGTCGTTTGGGTTGTTAAATCCAGGTATTTGTAACTCTCCAGTTCGCCAGAGATGTTCGTTCCAGTCTTTTTCTTCTTCTGTTCCGAGACAGAACCAGGGCTCTCCTTGTTCAACAACGTACTTAATGATCCTTCCATTGCATTCGATCTCATAGATAGGGTATTCACTATCTGGTCGATTTCCTCCATAGAAAGGGCTATCATGGTCGGATTGTTCATCTTCTCCAATCCAGATGGTATATGGAGTGATTCCGTCGGAGTTGTCGCTATTGTCATCGCTGTTTCTGGTGTCTGGCGTTGGACTCCCTGGTATGCCTTCTGATTGACTGATGATGCTATCTCTTCTCCAAAGTCGTATTCCAGAATCTCCCATACATTCTGGTCTTCCACCTTCTTTGTCGCCTGCCTGGTCTGATTCATATCCATCCAATCTAGAAACGTCATAGTGGGCTGGTCCATTCCGTCCAGGAAGTTCGATGGTATAGGATCCCAGATCGTCCCCAATATGGCTGATGAATCTTCCGAATCTGTTATTGCTGCTTCCTCTATCTGATCCGCTGTCAGATTCGTGGATAAATATGGCTCGTTCCACTGCGCCGCCGGATAATCCAACTCTAGTACTGGCATTAGATCCTGTGGATTGTTCTTCAGTTCTGGCGTGCTCTCCCTGTCCTCCATTATAGTCGATGTATTGGCTGGTCTGTATCTCCTGTAAAGCTGAAGTTTCGAAGTCATGGCCATTGGACACGTGGCCGTCGGGGTATTGGTAGTGTGACGTCAAGCCACCCTCCAAGGTTGTACACGAACTGTGCCACTTGTTGCTGGGCTGCGGTCAGTTCTGACGTTCTCCCACATCTGTATAATTAAAAAATTGGATTTCTCTGAACATTGCACATTTGTGTTACACAACTATGATACTTTTTTTTGTTTATAAATGCTGTTATTACTATCGCTATGCCTTTTTTTGTTACAAACATGGCTCAAATTTAATATTAACTGTAAAAGCTGATTTCGCTGTTTACTAGGTATACAGAATTGTTTAATTGGTCAAAGCTCCTTTCCGAGTATTTTGGATCGGGTGACAAATTGGTGAAACGCGTCTAGTAATGTTAAGGCGATAGTCAATGTCCGTGCCTTCTTTAGCAAATCATTACCTGGCTCATTTAATAAATTTGAATCATTTATGCACAGCCTTTACAGGACGTTTTCACCAAACAGATCTGGGAACAATTCGGTTGTATAGATTTTGACTAACGATATGTTATCTGACGAATAGTGTATTCTTCGGCGACGAAAAGATGTCACCTTGACATTTGCTCTCATTTCGCAGGTTTTAGTAATAAAATAATCTCTATATCATTAATTTTAAGACGTTGCGAATTTTTTTTTTAAATTTTTCATGTCGTTTCTTTAGTACAGTACGATGCGTTTTTTGTCGCAATTAGTTTCTATAACGTTTTATAATGCAACCACATGATCACGTCGGGAGGTTCATTCCTTAAGTTTATTTCGGACACAGCTCTTCTGGGGCGGATTAATTTATGCAAAAACCTCCGACTATTACTATCACTATCCTTGTTATTATCCATCATATAATCTAGCATCCAATCATAATGTGGGTAGAGGGGTTTATTATTATTATTGTATCTGTATAAACGTCATAATAACAGGCATCCAAAATCGGTGACTGTGATTATCACTCTATAAGAGAAAAATTACTATGAAAAAACCTGGGACCCAAACCAAAATGTGACTAGAAGTCAATGTGACTGTATATGAGGTGACTGTCATATGTAGGGGGAGGTCGACTGTATTATAATTATGTATTTAGAACAGAATTGGGTAGGTTGGGTGCAAGCTGACGACTAGATAAGACGCGTGTTTGTGTTAATGCATGTTTATTTTTTGCAAGATAACTAATTTACGTTTATTATATTGATTATTAATATGCATGACATCTAATCAATGCACATAATAATAATATAATACTGAGCTTAGATTTATTACCTGTGAGTGACGTATTTTTGAGTTTTTACATAATCACCGTAAAGACTGATCTGATTAGTAAAGACTGATTAATATCAGTGCGTAAATTACGTCTTTTTTTTTTTAAACAAAATTCTTCTTTAACTTACATTCTGTCTTTTATTTGGTTCACCATAATTCTGTAGTTGAAAAAAATATCCTTCTCGATATGTCTTTGCCAGTTTCCTTATTATCATCTGAGCCCACGAAAATAGCCATAGAAATATCACCCACCAGAAGTACAAAAAATCCTGAGATCGGGTTTGAAGAAAAGGATATCATAGTTTGGAATGAAGCTGTTGAAGTTCCTTTGGAAGTCTTGTCCAAGTTCTTTGTAGTCTGTAAAGTGATCCATTGTGGGGACCTTTTAATTATGAAGCCCGATAAGCAAGTCATATGGTAAATCTTCCTCCGCAGTAATCAAACAACACCCCTGACGATCAATTAATTAGATGTTACTCAAAGAAAACGCGAGTAACGAAAATTTGGTGACAGTTTTGAACACAAAATGTAGCTAAGAATAGAAAATAACACAAGTAACGCGATTTTGGCGGCGGCGTGGGAAAGATAGAAAATACGCGCTCTATGACGTAGAAAAAGTAACACGATATAAGGAGCCGTCCCGACCATCAAAAATCCTCATGTTGAAAATGTTGAAATTGTTAATGTTATGAAATAAATAATATTCGATACTGAAGTATTCGGATATTATAAACGATCGATCTGATCATTATCCTTTAATTATTACGAAATTTTTTACTTTCATTATTTCTATTTCTATCGTCGTGAAAACTAAGCTTTTGACTTAACTATCGGCAGTAGATCGGTAACGACCCGTAGTTGCGGTAAAGCAAGAGTATCTCGATTGATAATTTAAATTCTTTGTTGTTATAATTAGATAAGTGACATTCCTTGACTAGTCAAAACACTAAATCGAAGTTAAAATTAGTATAAGAATTTCCCCTTCGATTCCGCGGTAGATAAATTGCTGTTGTTTATTTATAGTGGGTACCCTTAATTAGATACGAGTATAGGAGAAATACATCGTATAAGGAGTGAAAGAGAAGCGCGCATATAAATATTTATTGTCACTTTCAGTTTAGTTCAGCCTTAACTGAGCAATCGTTGTAGTAAGGGCGGCGACATTGTGAAAAACCCCCCTCTCGGCAGAACACACCTACGCAATTAATTGCTCTCCCAACCCTTTTTGGACGCCGACCGTAACAATATATCCAGGACTTTGTCAATTCATCCTAGAAACTGGAAAAATTCCTGACTTTGTATCGACCAAGGCTCAGCTGATCAGCCTTAGCAAGATCAGGAATCCACCAAATACAAAGAAAAGCTTCCCTGAGATATGAGAGGAGAGGTTGTTTGTACATCAAATAGACCATCCAGGAAACAAAAAAAATCCATACAAGGAGCTGGTACCAATCCAGGACAAACTTTTCAATCGAAAAGTGCCCTATCTATTATCATGGAATTTGACGTGGAGCCATTTCTCGATCTTTTTCATACAGTTTGGTATTTACTTTTTTAAATTCTTCTGCCATTTTTTCCAAAAAATAAAGTGGGGGAGGATTTTTCTTCCGCAGGGCTTGAAAGAAAAGTATAATGTTAGAAACGAAGAACTTACTGAGTATGCTATAAACAATTTATCTTCTGAGATTGATATAAAATTTCTTGAAAAAGATTATTTAAATTGCTATTTCTTATAATTATCAAGACTTAAAAAAGTTAATTGGTCCTCGGCAAATCAGTAAATTTGTTAATCAAGCAGTCGAAAAAGAGTTAGAAAAAAAGAAAAAGGAACTAATTGCTGCTACCCCACCCTAACCAAAACCAAAAAGACTGATTTCAGACTAACAAGCACTTAATAATCTTTATTGGTATGGCTTGCATATTATAATTAGTCCGTCTATATATGAAGGTTTTTCACCTATCTAACATGTGTTATTTTGCACGCAACACTTGATAAGTGGATCTCGGAAAAGTAACCTGCCATTTAATTTTCCACTACAAAGTGCTAATGATAACTTGTTCATCGATTTGGCATTATTGTTCTTCATGACAGTATAGTTCTGCCCATTGGTCACATGAGTACCTATCTTAGCTAGCATAATTTCAGGTGTGAGCCTGAAAAATAATTTTTTTTTCCGAGGCGGATTGCATGATGCAATGAAATCCAACTCCTCACCCTCGTTTGTAGATTCTACATAAGAGGAGCGCATCAGACATACTAACATCACTTTCGATACGTGTTTACTACGTTCAACTGTCTGCATAGTTAGCTACGTTACGTTTACAAATGCGCTATTATGGTAGAGTTGACGACGTTATCCCATTATAATATTCTTTCAATTGACAACAGATATTTATTAAATCCTTATGTTGCAACATTTTAATATACAATTCACAATCTGTGAAAACATTGGGACAGATATAGGCAATCAATCAAATGTTGGGAACATCCACTAGTTGGCAGAAGAAATCTGCGATTTCCAAGTTAAGAAGTTTCCTCTGACATACTGCCCTTCTTGTTGCCCAACAGACCAAACCCTGAACCGACCGCTCTCGCACCACCGCCAACCATCTTGGCTCCAGTACCAACCACCTTAGCTCCACCGCCGACAATCGTACTTCCTGCTCCAACAATGCCATGGCCGGCAGCAGAAGCAACATTCGCGGCAGCATTACCGGCCACTGCAAACGTGCCTGTAGTTGCCCGTTTCTTCATTATAAATTCGGGGCGGAAAAGCAAGCGCACGAAAACCGATCCTTGGTTTTCAGCAAGAGGTATTTCGCGTTCAACGCCTTCAAATGGATTCAAATCGCGTAGATCGATTTCTGCAATGCCTAGTTTCGTGGCGTTACTGACTGCGTTCCAGTCAAACACCTCAAAGTAAAATTCGGCCGACGTACGAGATTTCTATTTAAAACAGAATTAGTTCAATTCAAAATGGTGTCCCGTTATTGATGGAGAGTTAATCTTTTATAAATATATAAGCCTACCACTTGAACTTGGAAACTTTCGTTGAAAACCGGGTTTAAATTCTTCTTTACAGTTTTGGTCTTGTGCACTTGTTGGCCGTTGAGTACGAATATTACGTAAGGATCACTTGTTCCTAAATTCACAAAATTGTTGAATAAATAAATGCATAAATAAATTTAGGACTTTAAAGCAGTCATATTCTCCTACTTACCGGATCGGTCTGCCGCAGGCAAGTTCTTTGCTTCGATGACAGTTACTTGTAAGTTTCCTTGATCTACCGATTAAAAAAACGTTGAATGAGCGGCCGTTTCACGTTTCTTACATTATTAGTTCTACTCCCTACTCATCTATTTCTAATTCTTGTACACGTTATCCCGTTTGAAGGTCATATTTCCACATCAATTTTACCACTACTTACTGTTGACGCTTTCCGATGCCTCGATTGGCACTATAGTCGGGATATATTTTGCATAAATGTTAATTTTGGCACCAGCGATGCCGGGTATTGTAAGCCAAATACCCTCTTCATCTTTTGACAATTCGTTCCGCATTTTCTCTATTAGCGTCTTAACCTGAAGATCAAGAACGCCGACAGGAGTTGACGAGCCGGTTTGACAGAGTTCCAGGGAAAGTCGGGAAAAGTCGAGTTCCTTGACAAAGAAATCAGTCGCTGATGGCGTGCAAATGGGCAATTACAAGATCAGTTATAAAGAAGCGAGTTGCAAGAGTGGGTTGCAAGAAAGAATATTATGATACGAATAAATTGTGTGCTTTTACTATCTTACCTTCTTCCCACATCGGATTAGGGTATACGGCAGCATTTGTCTGATAGAATGGATAAGCGTCATTGTCTTTTAAGCACCTGACATACAAGTTAGGTTTATCGAACTTCGCTTCATTCAAATAGAGCACCAAAGTTCCCGATTCTATTCATGAGGAAGCATACTTTAGCATGTTGAAAAGAACAAAGTTAACCCTCATTTAACTTACGGCTCTGTACTTCATCGGCCTCCCTAGGATAGAATGTAGCTTCGTATGACAAGTGGCCTCGTTGTTCCTTATTGATGAACAATTTCGCCGTTCTATAATAAAATTGATGTAAACTTCCATCTATTCGAATGTTCTAACGCAGAATGCGCAGAGAAATTGCATTGTAAACTCACTCGTCCAAAGTCCCATTGGACTTGTAAGTCCCGTCTTCGTTCGCTGCAGCAAGTTTGTCAACAGGCACTTCACATCGTCCCAACAGCTCGCCTTTTTTCCTCAATTCATGATCAACTACTTCAAGAAGAACAGTTTCTCTAAGTGAATGAACCGGAACATAAAGATACTCTTCTGTCCAGACAGGATTCAAATTGTTATCGATGACCGCCGTTCGATCACGATATTTAGAGCCAAGAAGGGCTTGGACATAGGGATCGGACTTGCCTATTTGATGTGGACATTAGCACATTGAAACATGATATACGTCAAATACGGTCCATAACAGCACTTGCTTTAATAAATAATGGTATTCACCTAGGGCCTCTACATTCTTCAAGTCTTGCGCAGACTTGATGTGCGCCTTAACGACACCGATCGGATCGACTGCAATTGACGTTATTTATGGTTAAACAAGCTGTAGCAATAAACATAAGAGCCCAGAACTTGCAACTCACCATATCCGGAGGCATTTGGCATGTAATCTATTAAAATGGGCTTCCATTCACAGTGCAATTTTATCTTTCCAGAATCAGCGTACATTAAACTAAAGGTATCTATTTTTGATTCCAAGCTCGCTAACAATGTTTTCAGTGGACTTCGATATACGCCGACTGCCGGATCCTCTGCGAAATCCCGTGCATCTCGAATTATCACACCCAGATGAGCCGACTGTTTGTTAGGTACAAATAACTCGATCGTATCCTTTAAACATTGGAAAAAACGGTATTTAAGTGGTGAGCAAAGCGTTTGCACGCGTATGAATAGACATCGGCTCAGTGCAGAATATGGTATTTACATTCCATGAAGGAGAGTTACTTCGTTTGATTTTCTTTGTAGTGTGGATAAGCTTCTTGTTAAAGTAGAGCTCCGCATACGGATTGTATTCACCTACTGCAGATTTTTTTGGATCCAAGTCTATGGCTTGATCGATTGTTAGGCGTATAATACCGATATCTGTGTCATGATCAAAATAGATATTAGCGACTCTGTTCTTCATGTTGGGATTTCTTAGAAATTTTATACATACTAGAATCTTGAATCGGCTGGTCGGGAACGCGCTCAGCTATTGGTAGCCATTCCACATCATAGTAAATCTCGCCAGACTTAACATTGTCGAATAAAACAGGAGCAGTACTATATAGAACTAGGTTAACATCGTAATATGACCAAAAACGTATATCACCGAATCATAGTAGTATTCGCGAAAATATACATCACATCCCATTGCTCTACTTACATGGAATCCTTGGGTTTCTTAACCAAAGACTCAAGTTTGAATGTAGAACTGCCCAACAGTCTATCTCGTCCGACGTTAGAATCGTAAACTTCCAGATGTAAATCATCAACCAAATTATTCAACACGAGATAATGAGTCTCGTTCCAATAAGGCGACAACGAGTTTGAAATAACTTTTGTGCGAGCAAGCTCTTTTCTGAGTGGCCCAATCCCGAATTTAACATAGGGATCTGAAGTTCCAAATTTTTCTGCATTGCGAATGTTGCGTGCGTTGTAAAGAACCAATTTCAGGATACCGATTGCTGATTCTATATTAGAAAATATAGATAGTCAATAGCGAGTTCCGGGGGGAAGGGGAGGAAGAGGGGAGGGGGGGGGGGGGGGAATAATGGGTTATGAATGAAAAAAAAAATTATTAAGACGTTTGTACAGTACCAACGGCAGCTCCCTTCATAAGTGCACCGACGTCGATGCTATATTCTTCCGGATAGTACATCATAGGCCTCAAATTTGAATGTATAAGAGAATGGATAAAGTGTGCCAATCCAGGAATCTAGCATAAACAACCGCAAAATGTTAGAGCATGGTGAGACTAGTGATATCAATAATCGTGTTTGCTAGTACGCCACATCCAACTCAACTCTCCGCACACCATTTTCATCACTACGCCCTCGTTTACCACGTACAAGCTTAATATCGAATCCAAAAGTCTCACCGCCAATCGGCTTCAACACAAAGTCCACCTTGGGCTCTTCCAAGAAACACAGACGCACTGTATGCACATAGGGAAATTCCTCCGCCAAGCTCATTTTAATTTTCATCTTTCCGCTAAAAGTCATATCCTCCACCAATACCGGTATGCCCGCTCCAACCACGCCACGCCCGACACGCGCAGTCAGCACAATCTTTGGTCTGACCTTCCTCCTCAATTGCTCTCTAGTCATATTTGCCGAATCGTTTGGTTCGAATCCAAAATTCCAAACCATTTCGATCGTATTGTCTTCCACCTTTGTATATGTCACAACATTCTCGACCCGAGGAGGTTTAGTGCCAAGTGTGAATGTCGTCAATCGAATTGAATCCAGAAAACCCGGTGTCGATGCAGCGAGAACGCTGTCTACTTGTTTGATGACTGTTGCCGAAAGAATTGGTTCGTAAATCAACCAAAAACGTCGGATAAATTCGTTAAGCCATTCGATAGGTTCCTTTATTGTTTCTGCACTGAGTGCTAAATCACGCGCCGCATCGCTTCGAGCATCGCGAACGAATCGAGAATAGGTAATTTTGAAATAGGTTGCTGGAATAAATAACAAGAATTAAGTTTTGGTTAACAAGAGAGTCGGATAAAAAAATGGATGTTGTTTTTTTTTGTCAAGACATTTATGATACCCGCGTGCTTTTTTCTCCCTTCTAGCTGCAAACTGTCTAACACTTCGTAAATTACAATTCATCCGTTTGGACTAACCTACCAACAAATGTCAAGACAATTGCCAACCACATGACGCTAAAGCTAAAGTACGCAATAAACCAAGTTGCGAAAAAGCTCACGAAAACAACAGCCGCATGTTCCCACAAGTTACTATAATATAACTCTTTCAAAACGCTATCATAGACCTCAATCCCTGCTTCTTTCGATCCAGGATCGGCAACTTGTTTCCATCCGACTCGATACCACTTTGGAAACTCTACAGGCTTTGTTGGAGTGGCGGTAGCAGCAGCAGCAGCAGGAGATTTTGGTATGGACTGTTCGGCAATTTGCGTCGGGTCAACTTTTGATGATGGATCCTCACTAGAATCAGCGATATCGGCAATTACTCTTTGACCGATTGAACCGTGACGATCTAAATCAGCTTTTTTGGCTGCCGAAGCTTTTTTATCTGGTGGAGCGTCAGGGTGGAATGTGTGGATATTCGTATGAGCGTCGTCGTGAGCGAGTTCCTTGTTCAACTGTTCTGCATTTTGTTTGATTTCATTTGCTTTCGCGGGTTCCATTATATCGGATATATTCACGAGTAAGCAACAATTGGTATGACTTGATGTCAAGAACGCTGGGGATAGAAAGAATAATAACAGTAATCAAGTCTGCCGTTAATATTGGCTTTCAAATGTCGTAATTCATAAGTTGAATCGTAAAAGGCTTTAGCCCAAAGAAGAAATGTGGCGATCTATTCATCTCAAATGAATTAGCCAATGGGGAGGTTCCACGCACAGCAAGAAATGTCATTCATTTTTACAATTGAATTCTATAATAATAATCATAAGGCGTACACTTTATGTATATCCCACCCGGCTATATCTCACCCCCAGTTATATTCCCAACATTTATAAGATACGCTGTTCACTAACCCGCTTATATCCCCACTTTGAGGCGAAACAGAAAGCGAGATATAGTGATTGTTTATATTGTAATAATAACAGTGTTTATCAATGACAACGAACAGTTTCGTTTTTCTATAACCGCTGCGTAGTGTTATTGGTACAAGTTTCAGCGTTGTGGTTAGACTGTAAATTTCGATCTTACGGTTAGGCTGTAAATTTGATCAGATCGTACGCCATTTCTATATTTCCAAACATCATAGCGTGTCATAGCTGTTAGAACAATAGGAAAACTACAGTCACGGTCAAAATTAATAGTCTTTGACCCTGCCAACAAACTTTGATTCTCAGAAGCAAAGGCACAGAATAAGTTAGTTTGCAAATCTGTTAGCATTAGAAGGAAAGAAGAAAAAGAGGCTGTAATGGGTGTAAGATTTACATATTAAGCGAGAGTTGTCGACTACAACTATAAAGGCGGAAATTAAGAGTGTCTATGAAGGTGTGCGTTGGTTTGTATATTGACGTTGAGATCTAGCTATCTCTAACGAGGCTTTGACTACCTCTACGTTCACCAAACTTGTGAAAGAAATTGGTGACCTTAGAATTGGGTTTCAGATACTTATCGATAGATACAGACTATTATTTAACTCGAGTCGTACGCGCAAATTTTTTCTCTAAACTAACGTGTTGAAAGAGTTATGTAAATAGTAACCCTGATGTAAAAAATTCTACTTTAATATCTTACCGATGCTGAAAAGGGTTTTACGCTTCGCCAGCAACAAATATAACTTTACCGGAATAAACAAAACAGAACACGGATTTTATTAAACGTAGAGAACTGTTCTACTTACAATGATGATTTGATCGAGAACAAGACTCGGGGATAAAAGATGACCGAGACGCTGAAGGCACTGATTGTTGTGCAAACGTTTTATCAAAATTCTGAGTGGTCTTTGATCTAGTTAACTTGAAACCCGATGTCCCAGAACGGATCTTCAGAATTGAATTGAGAGGTATTGGGCCAACTATTTTGATGCTTGGGCGGTATGAGAGTCCCTTTAGAACAGCTATAGGAATCTTTGAAATATGAACAAAATAGTACATTAACAATGAGACTGTTAGCATATGCTTACTATATAATGCTTAATTAGCATGACAATATATTAAATATAAATATGGAAGGCTATCAAATTAGAGACCAAACAATCTTGACAATAACCAGATTGGTGAAACAGGAGCAGCAGCACTTTTGAATCAAATTCTTCTCTGACTTCTTTGAATCTTGGATCTAATCAGGAGCAGCATTGCCAAAAGCTCTAGAATCAAATTCTTCTCTGTCTACTTTAAATTTGTAGCATTGCCAAAAGCTCTAGAATCAAATTCTTCTCCGACTTCTTTGGATCTTACTAATAATAAACTGAGGTACAGGTGCTGTGGCTGTGGCAGAGGTTTTGAGACGAGGATGTTGATAGAATTTTATTAAATGTTCATCAATCTGTAATCTAAGAAATGGATTTTGAACAGGCGACGAGAACAAATTACTGACAATCGTATATGCGCAAATAAAACCCATTATTTGTTACGCAAAACGCGTTCAGAACAAGAGATTTCGTGCCGTCTCATTATACGATTTGTTTATTAAGAGTATTATAATTGTCAGTTCGTCAATTATGAAACCCGATTGGTATTTCGAAATAAAGACTGCCCCCAAATTGTCGTAATAGGCAAGCAAATAGGGGTTCTACTTTTACATAAGATGGCGGCAATAAAGTTACGAGTTATTTTTAGCGCCGAGTTGAGGGGGTCAATTAAGGTTATCTATTATTATACGTCAGCGTTAGACTTTTTGATTATTACAAATGATAATCTATATCACGTGATTTACATTTACTGGACATTTACAAGTGACAGGCAATTTGCAAGTTTTCGAATGCTTTGGCATGTAACGGATTCAACAAAGTACCCTCTCCCTTAACAAGTCAATTTTGCGCAATGGCAGGTTATTTATTGATACAAATAAAGAAAAACTACTGTATTATATATACCACCAAGACCCTTTTCCCACTATATCATCAAAACACCACTCTTATTCAAACACGACATTTTCTCCCGTCTCCGTCTCGTAATCATTAAAGCCTTCTTCATTCGACATATTCAACTTTCCAGGTATCCCACAAAGGAACAGGCTTGCCGTGTTCGCGCTTCATCGACGTCATTTTCCAGAATTTATCTTCTACGCTCGCTTCTACAGAGGCGGCTACTTTCTCTATGATCTCCAAACCGGCATGCTTGATTCTATTAATCGTAGAAGTCTCCGCCTCACTTTGGAAAACCAGGGGCTTGGGGCCCCCTGCTGGATCTGGGACTGGGAGACCGATGCAGAATCTGTTTGGAGTGAACACGCCTGTCGGATCGTACCGTTTCTTGATTTCGCACAGTCGCTCGTACTTTCCTGCCGGGTTTTTGTCATAATAATACTCCCGATTGGCACTCAAGTCCAAATCGTGCGAGCCCCACAAAACGCGACGATCATGATCGCAGAATGGAGCGTCGGGGTGTCCAACCGCCTTGTCGTTTCCTTGCTGCCACTTTATCGCCCTCTCGTGTTGGTGATCGTGGTTGTAGAATGCATCCAGCGTGTAGCTAATGGTCGTGTCTCGCCAACTGAACGATGTGGGACTGTTGATTCCGTTTCGGTAAAATCGCGAGTTGGCGCCACCAAAATTCTGGAATTGTGCTGATATACTGACACCGTGATCGATTCCGTCGATTCGACGGGAAATCCAATCTGACCACCCGGTAGCCTTGAGCTTCTTGCCACTGTAATTGGACGTGTGTGTACGCTTGACGTATGGAAGTTCGAATTCCCGTGCGATTGGGAAAATCCAGTGACGGGTCAACTGAGAAATTGGTACGTGTTTGTCGTCGTTGACTTCGACATACCCTGTCCCAGCGGCATGTTTAACTTTGTGGACAAAGGTTGGGTCGTAGGTTTGCCCAGCTCCTTGCAGATTGGCCCATTGTACGAATACAAAGATTACCGGGCACCAAACTACAACCGGGTCATGTTTACGAAACTTCTTGTCGTAGTTTGTCTCCACTTCTCCCTCGAGAGCCGAAGACAACGGCTCGCTCAACACCGTCACACAATAATCGAAATCGCCAGGGAAATTCTCATCTTCGACCATTTCTACCATGATATCCAACAAGGCCTGGAGACGATGACGGCCCCATGGGTATACGCCTCTGAAACCGCGTGAATTCGGATAGTCTTCATCTCTGTGAACTTGCAGCGTGATATGTGTAATCACCCCAAAGTTTCCAGGACTCCCACCCAACACGGCATAAAATAAATCCTTATCTTGTTCAACGTCGCGGGAAACCCAACGTGGTTCACCATCGGCGGTGATGATGCGGAATTTTTTGACATGATCTGCGAAAAGGCCGAAACTTCTGCCCAACTGACCGTATCCTCCGGTTTGGACATGTCCACCCACATGGACGTATTGGCATTGACCATGTGGCACGAATCGTCTCTTTCCCCCGAGGTTTTTATTGAAATCGTCCAACGCAATGCTGATACCGAGTGTCACTATCGTGCAATCATCATCCTCCCATTCAAAATCCTGATACGTCTCGGATACATCGAGCTGAATGTTATCCCCATTAGTGGATGACGCGCCGCTGTATTGATGGCCTCCTGTGCGCACGGCCACAGCGATGTTGTTTTCTTTCGCATACTTGATGGCTTTGATCACATCGTCGTCGTTTGCTGCCTTTATAATGGCCGCCGGGTGAATGGTTCCCTGTTTCAAGTACGAGCTCGAGGCATACTGATAGCTCTGAGCCTCGTAGTCAGCGTCAGTGCGTAAGGTTACCTTCCCATGGAATTTGGGGAGTTTCGTGTCAGCCATGTATGACTGCTGTTCGGTCAAATCACATTAATATAAGACTTCATAACAACCTTGATTGGTCACAGTTGAGGATGCAATTCATTCTATTGTAGAGCCTTGTTTAGGTAGCTTGTATTACAGTTTAAAAGTAACTGTGCACATCAGTACCATAATCCATATTGTTATTTGGATAGACTACTTGTCCTCTTGGCGATCTTCATAGATTATCCATTTTGCGCAGTCGTATTCTTTATTTGTATCATGCAGCTTCAAGCCCTATGCAGACAGTGAAAAGCCACACTGTAAATGTCTACATCGTCATGATAGTAATATATCTGTTATTGTAACTGCCAATCGATGTATCTGGCATGCGAGATGGTAATACTCACCACATATTTCAGAACGCATTCTTAGTATTGTCTGTCGACTAATGCAATACGAAAAAAAAAGGCTTGATTCACCCAATTATTGATCATGATTATTAATAGTATCGACCTGCTCTCAACAATACTTGACTGCGTTATATTCACCGATAACAAACATGTGCAACTCCTGTGTAACTCCTGTGTTCTTGTATGACGTACGCAATACGAATCTCGATCCCTCCAATTTCAGTATTAATTGTTCGAGACAATACATCTCTTGTTTTATTCCCCATCTTGGGCGAAAATATTTGCAAGTTGAATAGTAACAACCAATTTTCTCTGTAAATATGGTCTAACGCTTAAAGTGCGACCTGATTTTTAAAAGCAAAATTAAAACAATGGTGCGTGTCGTGTCACGTATAATAAGCCACAGGACTGTAACCAAATATGGTATATTCTAATTACAACCAAACGATAAATGAGCATCCAATTACGATAAATCCAAGTAGAATATGCGGAAATGACATGATTTTTTATGTAACGCAAATGACATGCATGAAGGGGATACAAACGAGACGACTGTACATCCGGTACTGCTTGTTCATCCGAAACTAGATGGATATATTAAGATAATCTGGTACCAGGGCATTCACGAAAGTCCCTAGATTTTCGTCTTCCTCTTTGTAAGGAATGGCTTAGCTTAGTAAGTCGTTCAGTTCATGATTTGGTCTGGTCACTTGCACAAAACGATTTGTGATCGATATCTTATAATCCGGAGATACCGTATACAAGAAACGAGCAGTAATTTATATTTGTATCAATAACGCTTATCTCTTTTGGTTTAGAATGACTGCTGACGTTTGGGATACTCTTTTTAGGTGAAGACGCATATTGTTACGCATTCTATCCGGTACATTTCAAGTAGATCAAGTCCGTGTGGATAATGCTATGAATGCAGTATGAATAAACATTAGGTTTCGACCTGTATGTCATTTTATTCGAACATATCATTGCTTGAACACTTATCTTTTCTCCAACTCAGTTGCTGTGTAACCCAATTCGGAAATTTTATTCGCGAATACAGTTTAAGTTATAATTTCTTATCATCAGTTGTAATGTCGACATAATTGCGTATCATCTCGGAGCCCATTTTGACATACAATGTGATAGTAAGTTACAAGCCTTTATTACATTTATTTTTATACATGACATTGATTGGGCTCATACTTTTTCAAAGAAATTACTCCGCTCTCCCGTTAATCGAAAGCAATTTGTCCGCTAAACATTTGGCTAGCAAACCATCAACTCGTCTGCAAATATTGCATTTTGACCTTTCACCCCGTTCTTTATGCGTGTCACGCTTAAATAAATGTAGCACGAAAATTAATGTCAAGCAAAATTATACCCACCAAGGATTTTCTTTTAAAAACTTATGCTCTTCATTATTATTTTCTTACAACTGGGTTTAACACTAACCATAGACGTCTCATGTTTTCACACAAACGATTGCGTTATCATACCTCAGGATAATTAAAGCTTGCCACAACCATCGATAACACACCCCAAATCAACATACCGGCTCATAAAAAATCGTTAAACAACATTATCCCGGTCAAACCGGTTGAAAAAAAAAAACCACCAGTAAAGAATTTAGAAAAAACAAATGTAATGAATGCTTAACATTCTATGCAACTATATTAACATCGCTTTTTCCCATGCCAGTATTTCTAGTCTTTTGTTCCGGATTACTGTTGCGGTCCTTTGTTCTGTTTCCGATCCTCTGTCGTGAGTTGAATCGCTGTGGTTCTTGTTATGAACAAGTGTTGCGATTCTTTGCTTATTATTATGGGTTGCGGTTCACTACCATCTGTCACAATCCGTTTTTACCATTCCATGGTCTGTTATCGTATGATTCGTTATTGTCGTTGTATACGCATCAAGAAACACACATTAATTTTTATCGCGGGAATGTAAAATAGACCTCCTTCCGTTGGTGCGACGTAACACAGACATTGTAATATTTAGTATTAGTGAATATTTGATTCCAGAGCTTTTGCCAATGCTGTTGCTCCTGCATCTCCTATTTGATTATTCTGCACTGAAAAGTTTTCTAATTCCCAACTATTAATATGTCGTTAGCATCAGAGACTCCAGCCATTGGCAGCTTGATCCAATCCTGTTACGTGAATGAACTCGATAAACTTGACTGGATACCTTGCGAAGAAATCACCGACGTAAAGCCAACTCAAATTGACAACGTTTACTACGCTATTCGCAAACGCAAAAGTTATAAAGATGAGACGATAACGCTGGTATTACTTGGAAGGAGTGAAGTATGCACACCAACACTTGTGAGTGAGTTTGCGAGAATATACTCACTTCCAACACACAAGTACGATAAAAATGACAATAACTTTAGACGATACTCCGTATGGCTTTCTCGTCGCAACAAACTCATTATTGGATTCACCAAGTCTAACGAGACCGGACTTTTTTCTGCATTTAAAACTCCGGTAACGCATCGTTGGTTGAAGTCCAAGTCGACCAGCAAAAAAAATAATAATAATTATTATTACTACATGGTTGCTCATGAACGCTTTTACCATTGTTACTCTCGATATGGCTTCTGCTCCACATGTGGAATACTCCGATGTAGTCCCGTGTGGTGCATT